CCCCCCACAAAGGGAGAGTCTACTTCCCGGTTTTGAACTGGCGACATACTGTTTGGGCCAATGAGCAATTGTGATCGTTCAGGTTCAAGAGTTGAACACAAAAATGTTCTGTTGATTATTTTTGTTATTATCCTTCATGATTGTTTGGGATGGGGACCACATGGGTGTTTTGGATCGACTCTATTTCTAATATGAACCGGTGTTGGAAATCTATTTTAGTTAACTAACTATTTTTCCATGTGATGTATTCAGGATAAATGGAAAACTTTGGTCCACACAGCTAGCATCTCCCCCCAGCAAAGAAGGGGAGAGCCAGTGCCTCAGGAGCTCTTGGACAGAGTCTTGGCAGCACATGGCCACTGGTCTCAGCAACAATCTAAGCAGCATGGCAAGCATCAGGCTGAACTCCTCAAATATTCAGAAGACCAGGTGGAGGGAGTTGAAATTTGAAAGATAGGTCTTATAGCCCAGTGTACGAGACTCCCGTGCTTTGGGGAGGATCAGTCTTATCCCACATGAAAGAAGTGTTTAATTGTGATTATGTAAGAAAGTTCTGATTGAACAAAAAAAAAAAATAGGAAAAGGATATGTAGAAAGTCAATTAAATTTGTGCAACATTTCTCACACGTAACACGATCCATCGCGGCCGGGTCTTTCTGTTGGAGAAGGCTGGCACTTGTAAATGATTTGTTGAAATAAGAGCATTCTAACAGAATCCATTGTTGTCACTTTGATTTTGTAGATTCTATTCTTTTGCAAACATTGTTTGAACTGGAAGAATAAATCAAGAAGTGTTAATGATTTTGAATTGGTTGGAACTTTTATTATTTGTTTTTTTATTTTTTCTTGTGAAATTCTGTGTGCTTGAGTTTGTTAATTTGAATATGAGAATAGTATTAACAAGGCCAAATCTTAGGGTTGTACTCATTTTATTGTTCTCATATCCTCATCAAAGATAATTGCATGGTTTATTTTTATTTTTTTCAGATTTTCTGCATGTTGCATTAATGTAGAAAGATTGTTCTATTTTAATATAAAATTAATTAATTTTTTTTTTTGGTAAATAACAAATGGATATATAGATATGTCACTCTATCTATCCGTTAGGAAGCATTGTACCTCAACACTACAATACTATTTGCAAGAAACTCCACCGAATTTTACGTTGGGGCCAAACATAAGATATCATCATATGCTCGTTGGACGTCGAAAAGTAAATTTAATTCTACTGAATTGTCGTAACCGTAGAAATTCAAACTCAAACATTAAATGAAAAAATTCTAATAAAATCAATAACTAATTTTACTCATATCTGAAATAAAGTCGACAAAACACAATGATTAATTGCTGGAGGTTATAATTCATGTCATGTACAAGAAATTTAAAAGAGATAAGCGATCACAATCTTATCATTTGCTGTAATTCTAACATTCAAAACTCAAATCGGCCCCTCGCCAAAAGATGGTGGCAGGGGGTGGTGGGTGGTGAATGAAGTGAGACAACCATTGTCGTCACCTTCTGGCCGTAATCTCATGCACGTTGCGCCATTTAATTGTGAATTATAGTTTTTTGTTTGAGTAAAAAAAACAGGGGCACATGGTTTTGGTAACACACACAGTTGCTTATTGATAGCCTGATAGGCGACAAGTCAGGCTGTTACATTGCTTACATTACGTGTGTTAATGTAGCGAGTAATGAAGAACGTTCACGTGCACGCCACATGCAAAGGTTAAGCATCCAAACTGACCGCTGACCATTCTGGCAGGCTGTCCACATTTCCAATTTTAGTCCGACTCAAATTTGGGTATATATATTTATTGTGTCCGAAGTCACGATGAAACATAAAATTTGAACGCCTAAAAAAATCTATTTCACAATATTAAATAATAATGTTTTAAAATACGTAATTTGATAAAATTTTCTCAACATATGTATACTATCGCGTATGCATAATATTTGAAATAAAAATTATATTCAACTATAAATTAATCAAATATTAAATAATTAGGCGTGTGATAGAAATGAGTGATATGATATTTTTGGGAGAAAAAAAGTGTAAGGCATAAAAATTCAAGTTATGAGCTATCTTATTATATAGATATGTGTGTGTGTGTGTGTTTTTTTTTTTTTTAGAAGGTGGTTCTGATTGCCTCGATTATTCTCTCTTAATTTATCGTGGCATGAGTTTGGTTAGAACATGTTCTTTTAGGAATATGGGTGAGTAGCCCTCAAGGAGTTTAAAAAGAGATTGAATTTGAGACTTCTGAGACTCAACCACTGAATCACCCGTANGTGAGTAGCCCTCAAGGAGTTTAAAAAGAGATTGAATTTGAGATTTCTGAGACTCAACCACTGAATCACCTGCAAGAGTTTGTATATGTGTGTGTTTTAATTATGTGAAATGGAACTTAGTTATACAATTATTAAAGATTATGCCTATTTTTTTCAAAGAATTTTTGTTTGGGGGAGAGGGGAAAGGAAAACAAAGTCAAGAGGATGAGATTGGAATTTGCAACCATCCGCGAGTTAAGTCCTTACCATCGAGTTATGACCTCATCTCAAAAAATTAAGAATAGACTTAAAAAAAATTGACTTAAAAAATTGAACAATTAAATAAATGATAAGTCCTAATAAATACTGAAACTCATAACTAAATCAATGAAAAATATAACANGTGAAATTCTGTGTGCTTGAGTTTGTTAATTTGAATATGAGAATAGTATTAACAAGGCCAAATCTTAGGGTTGTACTCATTTTATTGTTCTCATATCCTCATCAAAGATAATTGCATGGTTTATTTTTATTTTTTTCAGATTTTCTGCATGTTGCATTAATGTAGAAAGATTGTTCTATTTTAATATAAAATTAATTAATTTTTTTTTTTGGTAAATAACAAATGGATATATAGATATGTCACTCTATCTATCCGTTAGGAAGCATTGTACCTCAACACTACAATACTATTTGCAAGAAACTCCACCGAATTTTACGTTGGGGCCAAACATAAGATATCATCATATGCTCGTTGGACGTCGAAAAGTAAATTTAATTCTACTGAATTGTCGTAACCGTAGAAATTCAAACTCAAACATTAAATGAAAAAATTCTAATAAAATCAATAACTAATTTTACTCATATCTGAAATAAAGTCGACAAAACACAATGATTAATTGCTGGAGGTTATAATTCATGTCATGTACAAGAAATTTAAAAGAGATAAGCGATCACAATCTTATCATTTGCTGTAATTCTAACATTCAAAACTCAAATCGGCCCCTCGCCAAAAGATGGTGGCAGGGGGTGGTGGGTGGTGAATGAAGTGAGACAACCATTGTCGTCACCTTCTGGCCGTAATCTCATGCACGTTGCGCCATTTAATTGTGAATTATAGTTTTTTGTTTGAGTAAAAAAAACAGGGGCACATGGTTTTGGTAACACACACAGTTGCTTATTGATAGCCTGATAGGCGACAAGTCAGGCTGTTACATTGCTTACATTACGTGTGTTAATGTAGCGAGTAATGAAGAACGTTCACGTGCACGCCACATGCAAAGGTTAAGCATCCAAACTGACCGCTGACCATTCTGGCAGGCTGTCCACATTTCCAATTTTAGTCCGACTCAAATTTGGGTATATATATTTATTGTGTCCGAAGTCACGATGAAACATAAAATTTGAACGCCTAAAAAAATCTATTTCACAATATTAAATAATAATGTTTTAAAATACGTAATTTGATAAAATTTTCTCAACATATGTATACTATCGCGTATGCATAATATTTGAAATAAAAATTATATTCAACTATAAATTAATCAAATATTAAATAATTAGGCGTGTGATAGAAATGAGTGATATGATATTTTTGGGAGAAAAAAAGTGTAAGGCATAAAAATTCAAGTTATGAGCTATCTTATTATATAGATATGTGTGTGTGTGTGTGTTTTTTTTTTTTTTAGAAGGTGGTTCTGATTGCCTCGATTATTCTCTCTTAATTTATCGTGGCATGAGTTTGGTTAGAACATGTTCTTTTAGGAATATGGGTGAGTAGCCCTCAAGGAGTTTAAAAAGAGATTGAATTTGAGACTTCTGAGACTCAACCACTGAATCACCCGTAAGAGTTTGTATATGTGTGTGTTTTAATTATGTGAAATGGAACTTAGTTATACAATTATTAAAGATTATGCCTATTTTTTTCAAAGAATTTTTGTTTGGGGGAGAGGGGAAAGGAAAACAAAGTCAAGAGGATGAGATTGGAATTTGCAACCATCCGCGAGTTAAGTCCTTACCATCGAGTTATGACCTCATCTCAAAAAATTAAGAATAGACTTAAAAAAAATTGACTTAAAAAATTGAACAATTAAATAAATGATAAGTCCTAATAAATACTGAAACTCATAACTAAATCAATGAAAAATATAATATCCATATTATCGAGTTAAAATTTTAAATTTGTGTATCATTACTCTAAAAATTAATAACCATTATGCCTAAATCTCATTATCATCGTACAAACTTTTTTTTTCTCCAATAGTAAGTGAAATATTCTTGGCCATTCCAATAAGTCTCTCTATTCCAATAGAAAAATAAGCATTACTCTTTAAAAAATAGAAAGGAATTTTTTCTCCCTACTAATTTGTTTATTTTATATATATGGATAGATCACGGTCCCTTCCTTTTAAGTAAGTTACTATACTTAACTCAAAAAAGTCTTTATCTTATTTATTTTGTGTTGATTATATAAATTTTATTATGTTCGTTTGAAGTTAATTTCAATTTATCTATATCTCTTGTAGTACCATCGGTATATGTATTTATTTTTCTTCCTCAAAGTCTATTTTTCTTAGTTTTATTTTTTTTGAAGTTTGTTTGTTACAATTTTAAAAGGTAGTTCAAGTAGTAAGAGAGACGAGTAATAAATTCAGACGTCTTAAGTTCGAATCTTGATAAGCCCTTAGTGTTAGATTACAAAGAATTTATCCCCATGAATACTCGTCTCGTTGTGGATGACCAAACTAAACTGAGGAAAAGATTAATCGAAATGCATATAAATTAATTTAAACACTTCCGACCGTTGAATTAAAAAAAAAAAAAAGTCTGTTAGCCACTGTCAAGGTAAAAGAAGTTTACTTAAGGTGTGTTTGCTTTAGATATTAAAAAAGAAGGATTGAAAAAAAATGTCTTGGTCCACCTTATCCCCTTTACTCTCATGTTTAAATACACACTTTGAGCATGATATTATCACTTAGAAATAATCCAGGTCCGGATGAATAGTGCATTTATAACCACATACACCTTAAATAAACTCACTTATTTAGTGGGTTTAAATAGTCCGATTAGGATATGTTTTAGTAAAAGACATTTTTATTTTTAAGAATCTCTAGAATATAATTATCTTGAGGGTTTTTTAGTAATCTAGTATTTATACTATCATTCAATATTCTATCCAAATAAAGTATTGGATAGAATAAACATGGGATCTATTATTTTTTAATATTTAAACCAAACATTAAATAAGGATATATTATCACTATAATTAGTCCAAGGTCTGAATGAATGGATATGAAATAAACAAATTTATTCTATTTAGTCCTTTCTAATGCCTAAATCAAACACACCTTAAGGCCCTGTTTGTTTTCTGCGTTTGGGGGGATTGGTGTCCAGGATTTGGAGAAAGTAGTTTAAAGGATCTTTAAACCTCGTGTTTGAGTTAAAAATTCAATCATGAGTTCTCAAACATGAGTATGAATTAAATTGATTATCACCGTCCAAGATAGCCAATCAGACAAGCCTTGGATTATCATGCTATGAGTTGGTCC